GAATCAATAAATTTTGTTTGTAAATAATTAGTTATACTCGAGACTGACTTAAAACGATAAAGTAAGCTCTCATTCATTGCCGAGAAATTCCTATCATTATCTTATACCTTCAGTAGTAAAACTTCCACAAAGTGTTGAATGTTTCAAAGCTTCAGTTTTGTCTTACATCATTTGCATTCAATGGCTCAGATATAAAAATTAAATTAAACATAACAATTACTTCCATAATGAAATAAACCACTGTGTCTTCCAACACAACTAACAAAGCAATGGTGATAGGGCAAGCTTGCATGAACCTGAGGATATTAAAGACTTGCATCTGTAAAATCCTCAGGTTCGCTCACTCTGAAGCAGGCCTGGGAAAAAATGTATTTTAAAATACAAAATAATTTGTGCTTCTAAAATACAATTTCAAACACCGAATATTTAAATTGTTTACAGAAAAAATATTTTGTATTATAAATTTAAATACTTATTAAATTAAATAATTATGAGAAGAAATTCAAATGTATCTAGTCATTGAAATACTAGGTAATTATATTGTATTTTAGAAAAACAAAATATCTTGTATTTTAAAATACTTTTCGTCCAAGTATGCTCTGAAGCTTCATTTCTTGCATCTTCTATCTTTTTCTTCAGAGGTAATTACCGTTGTAACAAAAATAATATAACATATAAATATAGTAATAGTGTAATAAAATACATATAAAGTAATAATATAAAAAAGTAATATAATATGTAGTATAAAAATAAGTAATATACAACATATAACACAATAGTGTAAAAAAAAAGTAATATAATATATATAAAGTAATAGTGTAATATTCTCCTAAATAAAATGAAATTATGAATCCACTACTCGTCATGAGAAAGCAGTTTTAGAAACATAACATTTATGATGGTTTATGGTTGGATGAAACCGTTGGTCCAATATTGGGGAATGGTTGTATTACAACAATACATTGTCAATCGAGTTTTGGTAAGTAAAAATCCGTTGGCCCAACATCGACATTTTATTGGCCAACACCCCAACGGTTTCCCAACGTTGCTGACCATTTTCTAAAGTTGAGTCAATCATGTGTGCTCACTGGATAATGTGAGTTTGTTTAACTTTGCACATTCATTAGTTCAACATGGTGCCGACGATACGTTTTGGTTTATTCATTTTTAATAATGAACCATTGTAACCCAATCGAAAAAAAAATTCTTTTCTGTCATAATGCATTACATTTACTTATTTCAATAATACATTACTAATTGTTCACTGACTAATAAACCATGAAAATCATTCACACAGGTATTTTCCTTGGGATTCATTTAATAGTGTGATCATGAAGTCTACCACTAATCCTTTTTAATGGTTCAGTAGAACTTGAGATGTAATTCATCTTTAAACAAAACATATCATTTGTGTATACTTTTTTTAATATGTGGCGAAGTTTTGGCCTTGGTAGATTTCAATCAGGTTAACGTTTTCAGAATTTCTGTTAAAAATATGTTGGCAGCTTTGAATCTGCAAACATTTAAAATAAGTTTATATTTACTGTGTATTTTCTCAACTGTAAAAAACTGACTTAGAGTAAATGCACTAGCTGACATACTTAAGGCAACTTCTTTGAATTTTTAATTGTAACAATTTCAATTATGATAATATTGTATTTTTCTTATAGAACCACTTCCAAGCTTGAAAACCAGCTAAAAATGGAAGAAACTTCCATCTAAAGTAAAAAAAGATAATGAAATTAATAGAAAAGTTTTGTTGCACCTATATTCTTATGTTGGAGTTGGGATGTTATTATGGTTAATAAAGGAATGGGGACAAGGAAGTAATCACACAAAATAATTTGTTTTAATTTTTAGCAACAGAAAAACCTATTTTTACCATGTATTTAACCTACATAAATAAATTTTTACTTCACGAGAAAAAACAGTAGATGGACCCATTTTATGCTGAATTGGGTAAAAAAGAAATATACTTTTTTCTCACTTTTTTAAAAGTAAATAAATATAACATAGAAATTGACATATAGTTGGATGTTGAATTTGTAACGATGAAAAACGGACAAGATCTACAGTAAAAAAATTATGTTTATGTGCGAGCATTATGATTAAACATGTGGGTCATCATCAGGGAAATGGTTTGGAAAATAAGAACTCTTTTCTGGCCTTCAAACCATAGCCTTAATGATGAATCACATGTTTTGGTCAAAATGTTGGTAAACTCAATAAATACAATTTTTTGACTGCACAATCTCATCATTTTTCATCCTGAAATAAATATAAATTTTCCACAAAAGTTGTAGTAAATTTTGTGAACTTTAATATTCAATTCAAACATGTTTGGAATATGTCCCTAATAAATAAAAATACTTCGCCATAATTAAAAATACATGTATATGTTATTACGATTTAAAAAAAAAAATTATTTATTATGAAAACCTGTTAGCTGGGTTACTACTGGATTGAAAAAAAAAAATGTATTCATCTTCAAAATTCATTATCTTTTTTTACTTTAGATGGAAGTTTCTTCCATTTTTAGCTGGTTTTCAAGCTGGGAAGTGGTTCTATAAGAAAAATACAATATTATCATAATTGAAATTGTTACAATTAAAAATTCAAAGAAGTTGCCTTAAGCATGTCAGCTAGTGCATTTACTCTAAGTCAGTTTTTTACAGTTGAGAAAATACACAGTAAATATAAACTTATTTTAAATGTTTGCAGATTTTATGGCCAAAGCTGCCAACATATTTTTAACAGAAATTCTGAAAACATTAACCTGATTGAAATCTACCAAGGCCAAAACCTCGCCACATATTAAAAAAAGTATACACAAATGATGTGTTTTGTTTAAAGATGAATTACATCTCGCTCTGAAGATTTTGATTTAATATTAAACAACTAAAGCTTTGGTATTTTGGTAATGAAAAATACCAAAGCTTTAGTTGTTTAATATTGAAAGTAATAATTTTTTTAGTTATGTCGTTTTAAAAAAGAAATATTTAGCATAAACCAAAAAAAGTATGAAATTTCAACATCTTTTGGAGCACTGTGACGAACCCACATGTGTTTCAATGTCGAAATCTTGGATTTATTATATTCACTATACACTTGAATATATTTTTTAAAAAATTAGGTTTCCCGACCTTTTGCAAGGTAGACAGTTCTTTTATTCAAATACTTTGAATGAGTTATTAATCTCAATGACTTTTGATCTTGTATCCATTCAGTTGGTTTTCCGATCTTGGAAAGAATTGCTCAATTTCAATTCAAATAATTGCTATGGATGCTTGAGGAAAAGAATAACTATCCAGTATGTGATCTCAGTGAAAAATAATATTCTATTCACTTCTTGGAGAACTGCCGTACATATAGGAAGACAAAAAAATACATTTTGATATGCAGAAATATTCTCAAATAGAATTATTTGGTATTTAAAAAAAATGCTAACTTGGAAAGGAAGCCACATTGTCATGATCTCATGCCAGTTTGTAAAGGATAATCAGAACACCTTATTTATTTATTGAATATAATATTTATTTGTTATTATTACATTGTTTATTACTTGTTGTTGTATAGACCTAATATAGTATGACATTTACTATTTGTTTTAAATTGCTTATTCCTTAAGTTTTATGGACCGTGACAAAATGGAATTTTTGATAGTCAATGTATTTAAATGTCTATTATATTATATTTTATTACTTGTAACAGACACACTTTCTTTCATATTCATTATATTTTGATTGTTATATACAGCGCCAAAGCCAACTGGTAGAAGATGCCGAAAGCCTGGTGTGGACAGAAAACCAAGGCAAGCCTACAGCGCTAAACAACTTGAACGTTTAGAGGCTGAATTTAATGTAAGCAAAGTTTTTATTTTTAATATATTATTAATATATTATTGATATTATTATTAGTTATTGTTATATCAAATTTATTTATTGATGTGCTACTTAACTAGGGTAATGAAATGAAATAAATTTATTAAAGTAAATTGTTTGACTTGTTTTATAGTGCAAAGTGATGATTCATTAATTATGATAATGAAACTGTATCAAACAATGAAACTGTATGAGAAAAAATGTTTTATCTTGTTCCAGTCAGATAAATACCTGAGTGTGAGTAAAAGAATGGAACTATCTAAAGCACTTAATTTAACAGAAGTCCAGATAAAAACCTGGTTCCAAAACAGAAGAACCAAATGGAAAAAACAGCTTGCGTCTCGCCTTAAATCTGGTAGCGTGAGGCCTCCACTATACTTGCCAGGATATCCTCCCATCTTCCCAACTTTCTTGCCTGTCCCTGAACCTCAGGAAGCAGTTGAAATGTAAATTTGGAATGTTGGATGCTTGGCCAATTCAAGTTAATGACCTGTATATAGATACTTTTAAATTATTGTTTTTATGTAAGCTATTTTAGACAGTTATTTAAGTTATTTTAATAAACTCTGGAGTATGAGTTAGACTTTTTTAGCCTTTATAACCTTTACATATCAAGAGTAACTGACACTTTTCATTAATTTGAAAAATTAAAATCTTATTAGGATCCTTTGAACCAGATTATTCTAATAATCAACAGAATTAATGTGCTACCAGTAGTTTTTTAAAAAATGAAATGATTTATTTACATTTAATAAAAAGCAGAAAAAAAGAGAAGAAAAAGTATGAGTCTATGAGTCTCGAAGCTTATTAAAACAAAAAAAAAAAAGAAAAGATATTGGAACAAACATTAAATTGGTTAAATAAAATTTTCTTATTCAAAACTGTTATGGGTTCAAAATAACTATACACAGTTCTGAATGTGAACTTAGGTACTTTAAAAATATATATAGGACCTTAAGTAAATAAAGGACCTTCAGATATTTGATACAAATATAATATAAAGATTAAATTGCTAAATTTATTAAAACAAAAAAAAGAATAAAAGAAAAACAACTGATATGGGTTTGAAAAAATTAATAGTTTAGCATAATAACAATGGTGAAATACCTAAGAAATAAATAATTCATGATTTTGTAACGTATATTTCAATTTATAAATACGATTTAAGCCTATTACATTTTAATAATTATCAAATGATTGTAACTTATTTACAGTATACATATATACATGGGGGTGGGAATCGTACTTACAATAAGTATTTAATTATTATAATAAGTAATGATTATATAAATAATTCTTAAAATTAATGAATCAGCCTTAAAATTTCTTATATTATTTTACAAAATTTAGAATAATTTACATTTGATTCTATTTAGTAAATGTTATTTTACATAAGCAGGCTGTATTTAGCTAATATACTACTGAATCAGATAGTTTATTACATATTATACAATATAAATAGCTCAAAATGTTACTGGTACTTTTGCTGGAGGGGAACAAATCTGGCAAGTGGGTCTATTGGACGTAGAGTTACTTAGAGGTTTGCCCCGATCTTTTACTGGAGTGGGAGTTTCAATATTCAGTTAGAGAGACCTCCATGAAATAAATTTTGATTGATCCTGTCAGAAAACGTGTCTATATCACTCTGAACTTTAACCTGACTTTCTTGACTATCAAGGCCTCATTTTTAGATGGTAACATGACCACATATTTATTGAAATTGAAGAAATGTTAGCCCCAATAGCATGATTATTATTTTTTAATTAAAATGATCAATGATTTTTAAGTTGATTTAAATTAAAGTTTTCCCGCCACAAATTATGCAAATTATGATGAAATAATCTATGATTTTGCACCCCAAAATGGAATATTTTGATTACTTCTTTAAACAATAAGTATAAACATCAATAGACTGACATTTTGGGTAAAGTATATATCACATTGAGAGAATACAAGTGACAGTAATCAAAACTTTGTAATGTCAAGAATTTTAACAGTTGGTCACTATCATCCTCCACAGTAGCCAGCCCTCAAATACTAGGCTAAAACAATAGATGATGATGATTGGATTTGTTCTTTGTCATAAGAAATCTCCCTGAATGTTTCTATGTTGAAATTTTTTATAGTTCCAATAGTGTTTCTTGTATTCTTACAGTGCGATATAATATAACTTTCAAGATTTTATAATTAATTTTTAATAATTTACAAATATACTTAAGTATTGCTTAATAAATATATAAGAGTAAAGTATTAAAACACTTTTAAAAATTACTTTTGCTTAGTAATATGAGCATTCTAGCTTTAAAACAGATCAATCTTTGCTAATGAGTTTTATGATAATTAAAACTAAATTACAATATATTTATTTTAATCTGAATAATTAACGTTTAAAATATTGATTCTAAAAATGATAAATTCTTTGGCACAAGCATTCTCATTTTATTTTCAATTTTAGATCAGATATTCACGACAATTGAATCTTAAAAATATTTTTATAACTAGCTACTATGAATATATTTTATTGATCTACCTATATTTATTGAGAGATTGTTAAATTAGTACAGGATCACAAGGAGAACATAGGTGATATATCGAAAGATTACAAAATTTTATGATTAATAAGGTATAAACTAGAATGAGATAAAAATAAATCGATGATATTGATTATTTTGTAAAGTTATAAACAATATTCGTATCTACATCACATCCAACAAGGAAAAAATAATTACATTAATATTATCGAGTCAGTATTTTAAGTGAAAAACTGCCATTTGATCAGAAAAGAATGACATTTCGCACTTAATTTGACCATTTTATCATTATTGTAAAAGGAAGGAACTTTAAATCCTGATGGGTAATATTATTTAAAAATTAGAATCACTTGTTTCTTGCCAACGTCCAAGAAAAAATTTCCTTTTCATAGAGAACTAAACATATGTTTAAAATTCCTCCATTTTATGGTATTTAATAAAAGTTTCCTATTTCTTCTACAGCATTTCAAAAGATTGAATCTTCAAATTTTAATAGATCTCACACAGTATATAACTTGTGTTTTTTCCCAGTTGTATTTAAATTTTAATACTAGTAAGCGATCAGGCACAACTTGTAATTTTGCCTTTTAAATATTTGACTAGTTTCATTTTTCATACCCTAATAAATAAGAAGAGTAAACATATAATATCACAATCAGTACTAAATTCTTAACTGCTTAAAGTAACAATTTGTTTGCTACTTAAGGTTAATTAGTATATTTTACAATCATGGAAAGTTATAATGAAGTATTATCATATAAAATAACACTCTTATAACTTCAGGAGATTGGATAATCATTGCTGATGTGCATTGTCTATCCTCAAATAAATTCAATTGTTTTTATTTTCATTTTTACAGGTAGAAATATACATGTGATCCCAGTTACTGAAAAAAATAAAATAAATAATAATGATTATCATAGAAAACTATAAAAAATAAAAATAATAAAATGTAAATTAATAAGCAAGAAAAACATAAATAAAACAATAACCGGTCTTGTAACTTATGTTTTTTTCCCATCTGTATTAAAATGTTAATACTAGTTAGTAACTATCAAGCACAACTTGTAATTTTGCCTTTAAAATAGCTGACTAATTTTATTTTCCACACCCTAATAAATAAATAGGTTTTGTAATTTATTACTGTAAAATAACATATTCAATGCCACACATTAACTTGGGCGTACATGCAAGTGGAGGTTATGGAGGTGGATTTACCAATTTCAATGAAACCTTTTTTAGTGATATTTGGTAGAAAAATAGTATACCTATGTCTGAGCCTTCTCGCCAATACCTCCCTAGGAACCAAGAAAGAAAAAATGTATGTTATTAATGTTTGCCTTTGTTTTGCCCGGATTTTTAGATTATTATGTACCAATTGATTACTTTTATTTTGTGCAAAATAAGGAAAAAATATTGATTATAGTATTAAATGAGTGATTAAGTAGCTTAAATAACATAAACCAAAAGGGGCTTCCAGAATAGTAGACCATGTCAATTTTTGATATAAAAAAGAAAGTTATGAAACACATAAAAATAAATTTTTATAAATATCAAAAATTGCAAATTTTAGTAATTGATTTTCCAGGGGGTTACTTGGTTTTGGATTACTTACTTGCTTGCTTGCTTTTCCGGCCGTCAACTAAAGCATGCATCACTTCTCAAGATTTTGTCCAAAATCAATGCTAGTGCAACCATTGGAAAGCTGAATTATGGCTCTTCCAAATCGAAATTTTTTGGTTGGAAATAAAATTTTGAAGGGTCTAGCCTTCACAAACAATTTTAATGTTTGAAATTTCATATTTCAAAGTATTTTGGGGTGTGAAAGAAGTATATCAACTTTATTCCTCCCTAAAAATATATTTACCCCAAATAGTCACACCAGTAGGTCAAATTTATTTCCATATGATAGCTATTTGACAAACAATATATTTTTTCTAAACTGCCCAAGTATCTAGAGTTTAGACTTTTTTAGGGAGATACAAAGTTGATATTCATCTTTTGCACCCCAAAAAACTATAAAATACTAATTTTCATACCAAACGTTAAAATTTTTTGCATGAAATTTTTGTCTATGCTGGACAGTTCGAAATTTCCTTGCCAACCAATAAAAATTGTGCTAACTTCAGGATATGATTCTACCGAATCACACAAAAATTATTAGGAGCTTAGGGATCCGTGTGCTGCACAAAATGGTATAAATGCAACCACCATAAACAAATTAGAACCAAACATACAAAATAAAAATTCTTGAGAATGCTTAAAATGAGAGAGCTTAAAAATGAACAAATTCCAAAACCTACTGATGAGATTTGGAATTGCTACAATTCAGCTTTCCAAAGTTCGTACTAACATTGATTTTGGATAAAATCTTGATAAGTTGTGTATACTTTAGTTGATGGCCAGAAAAACAAATCCCCTAAAAAAACAAGTACTACAATTTGCAATTTTTTATATCTATAAAAAATTGTTTTCAAGAGTTTCCAAGAACACTAAAAACAAATTTAACTTTCTTTTTCGTAGCAAACATTTACATGGCCAACTTTACAGGAAGCCACTTTTTATTATTTGTTATTTAAGATACTTAATAACTCATGTAATGCTTTAATAAATATTTTTTCTTATTTTGCACAAAAAATTAATCGATTGGTATATAATAACCTAAAATCCTGGTAAAGCAAAGGCAAAAATTAATAACTTAAATTTTGTTCGAAATAATATAAAATATTTTTTTCCTCGGTTCCTAAGGCACATTGACAAGAATCCTCAGACATGGGTCTAATATTTTTTGACCTAGTATCACAAAAAAAGGTTCATTGAAAACGGTGACCCTACGCTTGTAACATCCTCTTGTCGGAGTGAATAATACTCATTTTTATATAAAATATTTTTATATTTCATTAATACATTTTTAAAATATTATATTATTTCAGCTTTAAATATTATGTTATATAATCATCATTTGTTAGGATTATTTGAACTTCAATTTCATCAATGCAAGATAGAAGCTCATCAACCAAAACTAAGTTGATTAGAACTACCAAAGACCAATTGTGTTTTTAAAACATGAAACTAAATTAATTCTTATATCTTTGAGCTGACAGATCTGTTCCATGTTATTGTAATTTTCTAGTCACATTTTTATTTTCAGGATAATTTCCTTAATCAGCAGGTTTATAGCTTTTCTTACAGTTTTAGATTTTTTAAATTTACTTATTAAAATTAAAATTATGATTTAATTCCTTTAAAATACCTACCAAATAGAACACCTGCACAAAGTAGGATTGGAACTATACACTCTAAATCAATTAAGTATCCAAAAACTAAGTTTCCTAGTAATGCTCCCATCCTACCACTAGCTATTGTGAGACTAGTGGCCATTACCCTGTAAAGTAAAGATTATTCAGTAACCACATTGGAAGTACATAAAAATCATTTTCTAATCAATAATATATGGATATTTTACCTAACATTTGTTGGAAATATTTCCACTAGTATGCAATAAAGAGTCACAACCCCAAGTGAAGTAAGAGCTTCAAATAAGCATGATAAAACCAAATTCTGAGTTGATGTTGTAACAAAGTTCATGCCAAATGAAAGACAAGATGCAGAGAAAACACAAAACACTAAAACAAAACATAAATATATGATTGATGAAAATTCTTCTTATGGATTCATAACATTTAAATTAAATGTTTTTTAATATATAAGTATAAATAAAAAAAAAGGCTCTAGCCATGACTATCCATTCAATATTTACCTAAATATTTAATGTTTAATATTATCTCTTGAAGGATAAGCTACAAAATATAATAGAAGATGAAAGAATGTGGCAAGTACATAGATCAAAACCCTATCAAATATCTGTGGGAGAGGTTGAAATGACGTACAAAGAAGTGTCTTATTTCACCGGAATCTCTTAAAAAGCTAATGGAGATTTGTTGAAAGAAAATAAAAATATTCTTTAAGTCTTATTTATCTTATGACTTTGGTTATTTACCATAAAGTTAGTTAAGTCGAAACCTGAATAGATGCAAAATACATAAATTACTGCATTGAAAATAAACAAAATTTATGGTGAATATTTCATTTCAATATTTGAATACTACTGTAGTAGGACTGAACAAAATTGATGTATGATATGCATAACATTGATATTTAAGGTAAAAAATAATTAAAGTAACTATTGCTAAGTTATATTAGAAAAATATGATTTACATAAAAATAAATTAAGTGATAAAATATGCTTACCTATAAAGAATTTAGTTCCCAACTTATTCACACAAGTTGGAAGCCAAAGACTTGTTGGAATACATGCTATTCCAACTATTATTGTGTTCAGATAAACCTGATTTTCAATATTGGCTTGACAAGGGCCTTCTCTTTCAATAAAAACAGAACTTACTTCACATACTGAAGCACTTTTACCAGGATGCAGTACTGAATAGTACTCAAAGCGTGTGAAAAGTTCTGGGAACCACATCATCAGGGTGTAATAACTAAAAACATTTGTTTATTAATCAATAATATACAGAAGGGATATTATTTTTTAAGAGAAAAACAAAAGATAGATATACCTTACCATGAAGTGATTCCAAAGGAAATTGAGCAGCTGAGAAGAGTCTTCTTCCTGTATGGTGGTTTAAATAAAGTCTTTGCAATGGCTACCATATTACGCACAAGTACAGACAGACTCCTTGTATGTTTTTTAGTTTTACTATATTCCATGCTGAAACCAACAATACTGATTCCTTTCTCTTCTAAACTTTCAACCTGTTAAATGAAATATTAATTCCTATAAATGGTTATGAAATAGTTTATTTAGATCATAGAGTCTGAAGAAAAAAATAACAAGGTTTATATCGAGTTTAAAGAAAATAATGAATATACATTCCCATATCATAATAATTCAAACCAAAGTTAAGCACAGGATTTAATTTGGGTAAAGTTGTAGCAAATTATGAAATAGCCCAGCAGATCTTCACTAAAATGTTTATACAGTTGATAATAGATACACTTGATGCACAAATATAAATAAAACTAGATTAATTTCATAGTACTTTAATATACCATTTAAATAAATATTCCTGATATTATAGGATAAAATAAAACATAATAATGTCTTTAAAAATAATAATATTGATAGAGCAAAAGAAAAAAAAAAACATTGCAGAAAAATTATCAATAATTTGTTAAATGATTTCTGAGCATTACTAAACTTCATTTATGCCAGTCAAGATCTTTCATTCTAATTATTCTTGTAAAATCTGTTTTATAAAATATTAATCAAATTTCAAAAATATTATGTAACATTATACCAAACATATTTTTAATTTATGTAAAGTGAATAATTATTAACATATATTTAATTATTGTACTTAATTAAATTTATTTAATAATTTAATTATACTTACTGGAAATGTTTCCTTTGGTTTTCCAGTATTGATATGATAAATATATTTCATGGCTTCTAACGCTTTTTCGTGCTCTCCAATGTCAAAGAGAAATTTTGGACTTTCTGGAAACCGCAATGCCCACAATCCCAAAAGAAAAGCAGGTGTTGCAGAAGCAATTACGAAGAGATTCCACGAATGAAATAAGAAATAATCAGTCTTTATTTCAAATTTCATTGGTATGATGAGCCATGCTATAGCTGTAAAAAAATAAAAAAAATATATATAGAGAATCCTTGATTGAAAAAAAAATTATAACATAGTGATTGTAACTAATTATTAAACAAAAATTGCAACTAATTATCATTTTATGTTGATGAGGCATTAGAATTATACAAGGATTTTTCATTATTGGAACTCCTAAATTGTTAGGAATGTTTGAATGAATGAAAATGTTGATTGATCCAATAAAAGATAATATATTTTTAATATGTAATTGCATTCAACTCTAAATTTATTTTGTTAATCTGTGAGCTTCATTATCTAACACCCATCAGGAAAAAAAATTATGATTTTGATTTGTTATTCAATTAAAAAAAAGAAAGTTATCTTTGTATTGATTTTAATATGTCTCCTTCCTTGACCATGTCAACATTTTTTTTTTTTTGTTAATTTAATAAAAAAATATTACAGTTTTTTAAAGCTGAACAAATATTTTATACTTATTTAGTTGTAAGATCTGCAATAGTGCTAAATAAGCCATTGTAAAAAACCTTACATATTAAAAATGAATTAAATTAAAATATATATAGTGATGTAGAGATGGTTGACCGTTAATATAATATGAGAAGGAGTTAGTCGAGGGTGCGGTCAAATAAATAAAAAAATTAAAATAATTTATGTATTTTAATTTTTTTATTTATTTGACCGCACCCTCGACTAACTCCTTCTCATAAAATATATATATATATATATATATATATATATATATATTATCGGTGTATGGGAAAATAGCAATACTGCATAAAAGCATTTTTGAGATTTTGTGCAAAAGAAAAAGTAAAGTGACATCACATATCATGTCTAAGTCTCAAAATTGTTTCTAATTCAGGTTAATATGATTTTCGATCTTCTGAAAATTTGAAGCTTCACTAATTTGCTACACACATGATGATATAATAATATTAACACAAAAAAGTTTATTATAAAATCAAATAAAAGCATGGCCAGAACATTTTCTTCTTAGATATAATTTTTTATAAAAAATCCTTATAAACGAACAGCTTACAAACAGGAGATCTTCATTATTGAAATTTGAATAAAAATAAATAATTATTATATAAAATTATTCTCTACCTGGTAATAATATAATGCCAGAAGTCCAGGCCAGTTCCATCCAACATAAAACTTTTTCCCTTATTCTGATTGGTTGGAACTCTCCAAGAAACGGTAAACAGAGACTCAAAGCACCGACCATACTGTAAAATAATAATCATTATAAGTACCATTCTTTGATATAACAATTCCTGAATGGTAAATTATGGAGCTGGAGAAATCTTTAGTGATAATATAAAATTATTTTATATCTTATAGAAGGGAATTAGTCCTACAAATCATAGGTTATAAATATTCAGAACATAATCATTTTTAAAGTTTTTATTGGTACAGACGTTTCAACCCTAGTATGTAGTTTATCAGGGCTAGTTTCGAGCACTGAAAGTATTCAATTACTGGCACTTAGGTAGGTAAATGGCAATTAGGTACATTATTGCTCGAAACATGCCCCGATGATCATCCTCATTCTTGGGTTGAAACATTGGAACCAATAAAAACATTAAAAATGACTGCGTCCTGACTATTTATCACGTGTAAAAAAATTATTTTATACTAAATCTAAACCTTACTGGCATTGTATAGAACTGAATAATAATAACTACATTAAGTTGGTGTATTTATCACAAAATATACATGATTTTATTATTTTTTTTAAATTATTTTTTATGTTAACTTCACTGAAAAATATAAAACATATACGCAACGATTACGTACCAAAAACCATTAAAGAACCTCAAAAGCAAGAATACTGGAAAATATTGAGCAATACTAGACGCATAACCACATAGTCCACCAAATATAAGTGAGTAAACCAGTACATTCCTCCTTCCATTCAAATCTGCCATGAAACCCCAGAAAAAGGAACCAAGAGTCATCCCTGAAAAGAACAACATTGAAATATTTAAATTTAAAATATAATAAGTATAGATATAAGGCTTAAAAGTTAGTATCTAAAAATATAGATGTAATTTATAATGAAGGTGTTTTGATTCTGGCCTCTGGTGGATGCCCCCGGGAGGGGGATTTTGGCTGGTCTTCCAAAAAAGAAATATAATTTTCTTACCATTGGTACCATATTGGTTTCTATGAGCGATTTGGTATAAATATTCAAACAATCACGATATTTAGGTATCATTTTTAAATTATAATGCATATACAGGTTATTAAATGTAAGCATGTGCCAAGAAAAAATAGATAAAACGTTTATCCCTAAAAACATTATTGCTTCTGTAATTAAGGTTATTATTTTTTTGAAAAGGGATATTCAAAGACTACTTAAAAATCAGTATTATTCAAGATTAATTAGGTTATAAAAAAAAAAAAAAAAACACTTCAAAAATTAAATGCTGAATCCACTACTGATTCTGGTAAAAAAAAAAAAAAAAAAGGAAAAGTTAGCAATAAATTAAAACAATATTCAGCTAAATGTGACCAATGCTAAAATCTAAAACATAAGTTAAAAATATTAATTTAAATTTATGGAGTTCATTATGTTTATATCTATTAAAGTAAAAGTATCAGTTTAAACCAATTGGAAATCCATATTAATATAATATTTAAATGAAAGTGAAGAGTCCTTTTATATATTTTAAATTATTAATTTTACATGAAACAGAGTTTTATTTTTTCTGATCGTGATGTGAACGAAAATAAAGTACACTTCCTATAGATAGGATCAGATTTAAAATTAAAAAAGAGTGGACAGCAGCGTTTCTTCCTCTCTTTTTACAAGGCACACACACACACACACACACACACACACACATATATATATATATATATATATATATATATATATAAGTAAATATACATAAACTGTAGTAAGATTAATGGATATAACATTCATAATGATCATTTTTCAATATTTCTATGTATGTATGTGCTATGTATTGAAGTTTGGCTAAAAGATATGCTATTGTGGGATTGTTATTTGATTGTTATTCAATAAAACTTTAATAATATATGTTATAATAATAATAAACAAGAACCAACTACAGTACAAATTGCAAAAGTTCATAAAATACATTAAAATAAAGATTAAATCATCAATAAATTGTTCATTATCTACATAATATTTTTTATAGTGAAAACAGTATTTAAAAATTATGGAGAGCCCTTTTCTAGTGTTGTAGGTGAGCTCTGCTATGTCCCTTAGAAAATTGTCAGACATTCAAACCTTGAGGCACTAAAATTAAGAAGACAACCAGAATTTTAAATTAATTGAAGTATACTAGGTCAGTTCCATACATAGGACTTCTGTCAAGAGGCTTAGTAATATACTCATAAAATATAAACAACTTTTACTATTATTTATGAAATATCTATTTTGTTATGCTGAAGAATATAAATATATTATATTTAGAAATAAAATATGAGTTTAATTAAGATTCAAATCAAATAATTTAATTCTGAAAGTAATTCTGAAGAAATATTTTCTTTTGCCGATCAGAGGGATGAGGATTTGGTCCTTCATTACACCAGTATTTTAGACATGTTTTATCTTAATGATCTGAGCAGAGAAAAGGGTTTTGTTGTTTTTCCAAAATAAATATTAGTTCCTCTCTACGAATATATTTTAAATTTCTTTTCAGGCAAATTTCTTTTCTATGGAATAAACCAACTAATGCCTTCTATGAGGACATTACTAGTATAAATCCATAAACCTCAGTATCTTAAATGTTTATGTCTTGAAGACAATGAAGGCTCCAACTAGATAAGGTTTAAAACTATCCAGTAACTTTAAAAACACGATATTAACTTTTTTACAAGTCGCAAAACCACAAACAGATTTAAAGCGAATGAAAAGTGATTGACTGTTTTAAAAGATGCTAGTCTATAAATTATTCGTAGATGTTTGATTGGCTTGTTATCTGTCTGCATCTTCTTGCGTGTCTTTCCACTGTTTGAACCATACTTTCCTCTTACCTAACACAATAGTCGGAAGAGATCTTGCACGAAGACGTGGTGAATGTTCGGTACGGTACCAATCACCGACTTGATATGCATTAAGTGCCTTGTTAACATATGATTTTCCATTACTGGAAGGTCAGGATATAAAGCTTACTTGATTATTCTTAGCTTGTTACCTTCGATTACTTACCAAACAAAGGTGCAGCCGTGAGTATTCCAGCATCTTGCGAAGACATCGAGAAGTCACATTTAGCAGCTGGAATTATGAATGAGACTAATGTCACCTCCATGGAAGATGCGATGTAAGTTCCACCGAATAAGATGAGGACGTAATAGTGGAATTTTCCATATCCTTAAGAAAAAAAATATATCATAAGATTAAATTGAAATTACAAACATTCATCTGAGTGTATTCCTCTAGTAAAAATACGAATCAATAAAGCGATAGGATTTTCCATTATTTATTTAGTGAATATGAATCTCGAAATATCGATAATGTTAGTTAAAACTGACTGCCCATTTAAAGTAGTTGGATTTAAAACACTGGAGGTACCAGAGTCTGATTTCGGCATAATATATAGGTGAATCTGCTAGTTTCACGTATTTCAAAAGTTATTGAATGGTCCTATTGAAACATTTGGTCCTATTTCTCGGGATAATCGAATATTGACAAAGTTTTCGAGAGGTTTATAAATGTATACTTTATAGGAATCATAAGCTATTAGCTCAAATTTTGAAAATTATTTTAGGATTAAGTCTAAAGAAGACATAACATACTTATAACGGAAATGTGTAAATATATAGATAGCGTTACTTTTTTATTGCTAGGCATGTCACAAGAATTTCTTGCTCCTTATGTGACATAATTTTTACTAATAATACAAATTAAATTATTATTTTTTTTTACGATTTCACTTTTATTAAAATAGAAAATAACCATGTTTTATCGAAAAAAATATTTAAAAATTGTCTCTTAAAGTATAATCGTTCATATAATTACATTTAAAAGGGCTTTATGAATCACTTAAACACCAGTTCAGATAGGTAGTTAGTTTCATTCTTATTTTCCAAAGTAATTATCGTTATTTTTATGAAAAAAAAAATCTTTCGTGCTGAAGCCCCCCCCAAAATTAAATCCTGGATCCGCTAGTGTATACAGTTATATATATGTTATACAGCATGTATATGAATATGTTTTTTATTTTCAATCATTGTTTTTGTATAGATATCATATTTTTGACTTTTTTATTTTCTGTTATATTTTTTTTTCCATTTTGATATTTTTTAAAATTACCGATGTAAATAATATTTAATGTTATCATTATATTTTATTTTTTTATAGTTAAGATTTTTTGTTTAGCTACAAGAAGAGATTAATTTTTGTTTTTCCTTTCTTTTTTTTTTTCACATAGTTTTTTTTTAATCTTAAGTAGCGGATATGTTTACCATTGCTTATCAGTCTATTATATTAAATATATACAACTATATAGGAAAATTCAACTAACAATTTCATGAAGAGGTTTATGCAAGTTTCAAAGCGGCATTCATCAATACAATTTCTAATTTCTTTTAAGCCAAATCCATACTTTAACAAAATTAATAAATATTGGATATGATATTCTTACTTCTTAGAGCTTTAGCGTGCTTCAAATTTTTATTTATATAAAATGTTTCGATCACCTGGATCATTTTCGGCCAATATTAAATGTATAAGTGTATGAGTTAAACTTACCAAAAACTATCTACATTTTACACGTAAATTTACTACTACATCGCAAGCACGAAACATTAACAATTCTATAAAAAGAATCTATTATATGCACTATTTCCAATCCTTTAAGTTTTTAGGTTTATACTTTACTAAAGCAAAATATGTACTGTTGTAACCCTGAACATGAATGGTTTTTAGAACTATATTCGGTGCCGACAATAATTTCTGGGAACTAATGGATTTTTATTTTTTATTCAGTGATCATATCTTATGGAAATATCATATCTTATGAGTAGTTACAGCGTTTGTATCTTCGATTTATTGAAACAACTCACTAAGTACTATTTATGGAGCTAAAATTTAAATTATGTATATTTTAATTTTAAATTTTAATCTACTGATACAAAAACTCATGAAGTACAGAAAAAATAAAAACCTATGGCAAGTAAAAAAGTAATTACAGTAAATACACAATTTTTCGATTCAATAGGGAGAAAATACACTATTAAGCGATGTAATTTTACAATTGTTAATATTTTATGAATAATAGTTATATGGATTATAATTATATTTTTTCTGCATATTAATTCATGAATTTTCGTTATAAATAGTCAATATGTAATTTTTGGTTGACTAATTTTTTCAATATTTACCTAAACACGAAACCGATATTTAGGTAAAATTATATATTATTAAACGCGATAACATACGATAAATTTCATCATTTAAATTTGAACAAGCTCAAAAATAATCATGAAATTTATTTTGATAAGTTATCAGTAAATTATTCAGGAATATTATTATGCAAAAACTATACTTGCCTGTTTTGGATAAGGCTTCTTCATATGGTGAATCTGCTATTGGGTCAGCACCTGTAAACAATAAATTAATAAATAATTAAAAAAAAAATGATATTTAAATAATTATAGTTGTTATTTAATTTAATAAAATCCAATTATAAACAGTCAGTACTGTTTTTAAATTATTGATCTTTTTTTCTCTCCTTCCTTTTCTTTTCGGGTATACGTGTTTTTCCCAGGCCAGGGGAGAGAAACAGTTATTAAAAAATAAGGTTCAAATTTTCTTTTGATGAATTTAAAAAATATTCAATAACCTCCTCCAAGTTTTTTAATAAATCACCGATCCTGAAGAATACTATTGTATATTTAATTAGGTACTAAAAACTTTTAAATAACCATTTGCTTTCTACTCGGATCGTAGGATAATTTGATAACGAAATCGATAAAAACAGTGGCCTACAAAAATATTGGTTTGTCCAATATAACCTCGTTATTTTGAAAATTTGGGGTTGTAGGTCACGCCAAACGGCTTAGTATTTTTGAAGGCCACTTTTTTTTTTGATTTTGTGATCAAATTATCGTACGATCTAAGTAGAAAGCAAATAGGTATTTACGAGTTTTTAGTAACTAATTAAATAGACAAAGTTTGCCTACATCCAGATTGAAAACGCCCCAATTCCAAGAGTTTTCGTCAACATAATAGTTGTAGGTTACTATGAGATGAAACTATTTACGAAGTTTCAGCCGAATATTAATAATTTGATAAAAAGGGGTCTGTACTATATAATATAAGGACCATATATAAATATTTCGTATCCTCAAATACGTTAGGAAAGTTTATTACGAGATCGGAACTTGTTATTCAATATGAATGGAATATTGAGCAAAACTTGTCCTGACACTAACGAAGTAACGAAAATATCCTCTTATCTTAGTGTTATTTAAGATTATTTATGGGAATGTTTCATATATGTAATAAAAACCAATTATACAATACTGCTTCGCTATTTACCCAGTTCAGTAGTGCAAAATTGTTTTGTGAGGTTCCCTTCCCTTATCAAATAGTTTACGCGACAATTTCAGTTACATAGAACCTTATCTTGAAAACGAAAATTATGGCGTAGCTTCAACAATTTAATTACATTAAAAATTCCGTTTATTTACAACATATCGTAATATTTTTCTGTTTATTTTATGGCTCAATAAAGAATTTAACTTGGACGAATACGTATGTAAGAGGTCATTGCAACTATTAATATGAAAATTCATTATGATCAAAACTATTTAATATATCACCCAGAAGTAGTATTAACCCAACATTACATTTAAGAATAGTAAATAAATAATGCCTTTATTCATAAATAATAATATAAAATGATACTTTTCTTGGCTTTATAATAATACAAATGGAATATAAATATAGTGATAAACAGAACCAAAAATGAAAATTATAGAAAAAAAATAACATGTTTTTGAATTTCTGAATAAAGCCCAGTTTTGAGCAAAGGTTCATCAAGTTCCCCTTAATTTTAATGCCATTTAAATAAATTTATTCATATTGTTATAAATAAAAATTCAAAAATTAACTCTTTATAACTAGAAAATCGAAGATCTTATTTAACACTGTTGCATGATTGTGATAAAGAAGATAATCATTATTACTTATTAAAGTTGGAAAAAATATAATTTATATAAACTATAAGTTTCTGAATAAATTATAAGCTGTTAATCCTTAGTGTTTTGAGAAAACATAAAAATCAATAATTTCATCCCATTGTTTTAAAAGTATAATAATTAATTTTAATATTTATCAAAAAATCAATTTATTTAAAGAAAAAAAAAATAAGGAAACTGTTACATCGCGAAATTGATAGTTATCTTTCATAAGTGGACCTGCTTTTGTGTAGTGAATAATAAAACAAAAAACAAAATTTTGAAAACTAATAAATATATTTCACATAAATTAATTTAATGAATTAATGCATTAAAAAATAAGTTAAAAATCCAAACCTCAAGTATCTAAACAAGGCTTTTTCAAACATGATAATTTTGATAAATTGCAATCATAGACTCATTTCATTAATTTATTATGACCATTAGGCAAATGTATCAGTGCGAATAAATACAATACAATATATTATTATCCATCGCCTTTTTAATATTATTTGTTTGATCATAGTATTTTTTTAAACAACTTTGATTAATTTTTTAATTATTATTATTTCAATTAAATATCCATTAGAACGTTCTATTGAAATAAATTTGTTTATTCAAGTTTCTGATGATTTTTGTTTTGCTAACTAATTAAAAAGAACAATACACGATCTCGACAATACCATCAGGAAATAATCTTGAGATTTCAAGAGGTTTGAAAAATTCATCTATATTTAGAATTTCAGTAATGGTTAAAAACAAATTAGTCCGATACGACAAATGAACTACAAGACTTGCTGATTATTACAGAAATGATAAGAATTATTGAGCGAAACGAATTGTAAGATGCACTTGGTGAATGCAAATATGTTTAGAAATATTCACAGTTTTAATCATAACAGTCAAAACGCTACTTAACATATAATTTGGCATTACTTGCGAATTCAAGGAGGAGGTTTTCGAGATTTTGCTTTCCTCTCTCCGTCTCTCCCCTAGGAAATGCTTAACAATAACTTCATTTAGTGATAATTTCATAATATGTTCCCTTTTTAAATTGTAGCGTATTTACTTCAGAAACGAAATATAAACACGTATCGTAAAAAAAAATATATATATATATATATAATATTTAAAAGCACTACAATATCAAAAAAAAAAAAAAAATACTTAGCTCCCAAAATTAAATCTTGAATTCTCTAGAATTGAGTTCTTGAAAGTATGAATATTAAAATAGAGTCTACCGTTTTTCTCCGTGTGAATAAATGCGTTTTTTTTTTTTTTTTAAATAAAAGAGTGGATGGATCTTCAGACCCGAAGAATTATTAACCATTGATTGGTATTTAAATTTTAGAGCGTGCGATAAACATATTTCTAATGGAACTGGCTTAAGTGTGTGTGTGTGTGTGTGTCAAGGGCAAGGAATAACGGACTAAATGTTATCTGGTAACTGATTTTACAAGTATAATATTTTTAAAAACTACTATATCTTTAATTATATGTATATTCCAATCTTGTTGATTAAGAATTTACTAATAGTAATATTTTTTTTTTATTATTTGAAAATTAATACATTCTGCCACATTGGAGGGCATTAATATTAGGGCTACATTAAACAATCACAGAATATATACATACAAATGATAACTAAAATAGAGATAAAAGAAAATTAGTTGTGAAAAGTAAAATAAGAAAATGAACATATATAGGAAAAAAAAATAGAGAGAAACTAAATGAAATTGAAATATAAAAAACACATTCACACCTATATACAATATTTACATTCGCCGAGGGGATTCCGAGTCATGCTTTGTCCCCCGAAAATAGTAATATTAAAAACACTTATTAGATTATAATAGTCCTATTTTTTTCTCTGCACAAACGTTTCTGTCATGTCGTTTTCAAACGAAAAAACGTTGGTGTAGAGAACAAAATAAAGGACTATTGTGATATAACAACTGATTTATTATAGCTTTGTTGTTGTTGTTATTAATTCTCCCAAATATATTAGAACGTTTTGAGAAAAAACACGGATTGAAACGAAAAAAAAAAAATTATTTAAAAAAAGTTTCGGTATCATCGGAATTTTTATTGTCGATAATTCGAGCAGTTCGTTTGGAAGTAGAACGTTTTCCCTTGGAACATTTCAAATAAAGGTTCTAAAAAAAAAAAATTATTTTAAAAATACTTTTATTGAAAAGTTCTGTCCATTTCGCTAAAACGTCAAGAAAAGAGGTAATCTACAAAAATATACATAGGTATAATATAGGTATAACCTCGTTATGTTAGGGTTTCAGGTCACGCCAAATGGCCCATTATTTTTTGAAGACTACATTTTTTTTCTTGATTTTGTGATCAAATTATCTTACGATTCAAGTGGAAATGAAATGGGTATTTACGAGTTTTTAATACCTAATTAAATAGACAAAGGTTGCCGATCTCCAGATTAAAAACGCCTGAATACCGAAAATTTTCGTAAATAAAATGTTTGTAGGTTTAGATGTGATGAAGCTATTTATGAAGTTTTAAACGGATGTTAATGATTTGATAAAAAGGGGTCTGTACCACGGACTAATATTATAAAACTAATCTAAACCTTTATACGAACCCTAAAATATTATAAGAACTTGAATATGTGAAAGTTAAACTTGTATCATAAAGTTAGAAAATTTATTACAAGAAAAGGTTCCTTAGAACTTTTATTTAAAGAACTTTTTCAATAAAAAGTTTCACTGAAACTGTTAAAATGGAACGTTTTAAAAGAGTTCCATAAAAGTTCAAAACCTGAAAAAAAAAAAGTATGATTCAAGTTTCTCTTTTCTTTTTATATATTTATTGAAACTTTCATTTTAATTAAATAAAATAAAACTAGTAACTGTGAATACAACGAGAAACATAACGTGAACATACTTGTGGAAATACTATCTTAAAGGTAGGAACTCTTCCTAAATTATTCTAATTAAGAAGATACCGAGGCCATCTTCTTATCAGACGCCAAGAAGGATTATCAAGAATCGAGGAGAAAGCAATATTGGAAACAAGTTGATTCGGATGGGTCTGGAGTTTATCATGAAGAATAATTATCTGGACTGGTACAAATCGGGGATATTTTTTTTTTAAAGTAAGTCATATTTTAAGAATGTAACTGAATCGTTACGTATTTGTAATTATGAGACAAACAACATAAACAATTGGCCTACTTTTAACTAATGAAGAAAATAAATTAATCAACAAGATAAGTGATTACATAATATGATGGAAGGTCGTATGCCCATTGGAGCAAAACTACGGTAAGTATTGCAAAACTTATAAAAGAACGTAGTTGCTGCAAAAAAATACATTTGACTGCTACTATTGAATAGATTCACTGTCATTGAGGACAAAGAAAACAAAAACAGGCCAAGCAAGTAACAAAAGAAAAA